CTATTTTGCGCGCGCTGCTTATAAATACTATTTGCTATAATATATAGCTTTTAATATAATTAAGGCATATTAAAATTATAAAAATAAAAACTGCTAAAGTCTACTTTAAAGCACGCAATAATATAGAGCCTATATAAAAATATTTAGTTTAAATAATATATTTTAAGTAACTATAATATAGGCTATAGCTTTACTTTGCTTAACTTACTATATTTATTAATAGCTTTATTAATTTTTTTAAGCATTAAAATTTATATAAAAAAATTAAAAATGCTAGTAATTATTTTAATAAGCTATAGTTGCTGTATATACTAAAATTAATAAAATTGCTGCAAATTATAGCTTATTTTTAATTGCATAATATAAATATCCTTATAGAGTTCTACAAAGCCGCAGCTAGCGCTATATAAAGTTTAATATTTTTTAAAATAAAAAAATATAAAAATATAAAAAGTAAAGTGCGCAATAAAACACTAATACTTATACTAAATAAAATAAAATATAAGCAGTTATTTTTAATTGCTTTAAATATATTTATAGTATTAGTAACTAAGCAAATAGGCTTTATTATGCTAAATATTAGAGTAATATTTAATAATATAAATATTTATATTATAAATAATATAAACTACAAAATTGCCTAAAACTTTTTATTATTTAGGTTAATATTAGCCGCCCGCTAAAATTAGTTTAAAAAAAATAACTTTAATATTAGGCTATAGTATTTTAAATTTAATGCACTTATTGCTAACCTACTATAAAAAAAGTTTAAAAAGTAGTATATTTCTAGTAAGCTAAAAATATTTAATGCACTAGCATTATATTTAATTATATATAATAATAGTTTAGTAGCTACTGCCAGTTTTTATATTAAAGTAGAGAAATACCTAAGCATTACTATTAAATATTATAATTTAGTACTAGCAAATTTAGAGCTAATAGGTAATATAATATACTTAAATATAATTATATTAATAGCTAATTATAAACTATAGTTTGCTTTTTGTTAGGGGGTAGCTTTAGGTAATAGTATTTGCTTTATGCTACAAAAAATAGGGAAGAGATAGCTAATAAAAAACTGTCTTCTAGCTTAATAAGTTAATAATACTTAATACTACTGTTTTGCAGGTATAGCGTAAGTTAAATATAAAATTTTTATATGCGCACTAATTCTTAAAAAAAATAGCGCAGTATTACTGCAATACTAATTTTTAGTAACAATACTTTATTATAAAACTTTTTTAGCTAGCTAGCATCTTACTAGTATGCAGAATTTTCTTTATATATTATTATACTATAGTATTTTTAGTAGATTTTTTACGTATGCGCAATAACTCTGTATCTATTGTATAATTATTATGCTATATAAGTAAAGCATGTTATATACTTTTCTTATATAAAAGTAAAAATAAATAAGTAGCTTATAGTAATATAGTAAAGCTTAATAATAGAAAACTTTTATAAGCTGCTATTACTTTATTGCTTTAAGTATTTATAACTTATTTAATTTATATTTTTTATACATATACAACGCACCTACTGCGCCTGCTATTATAATTTATTATTTAAATTTTAAGTATATTAAAAAGGCGTATATATATAATACTTGCTTTTTTGTATTTAGCGCAGAAAAAAAGCGCGCTAATTATATTACTATAGTTATAACTTGCATACGCTACGCTTAAAATATTACTAAGTAAAAAAAAAATTATAACTGCTTTAAATATTGCTATTATAATTATTGCGCTGCTAATAATTATAGTAGCTGCAATTTTATAGGTATCTTAGGATAGTTTATTATAAGTATGCTTTAGCTAATTAATATAAATATTTTATAAGCTTAATAGCTGCTTAAATTATTTATATATACTGCATACTTGCTATAGTATAGCAGTTACTAATACTGCAACTTTTAAAACTAATATTATAATTATTTAGACTAGCGTTAAGCTTGCGCGCTGCTAGCGCTAGTTTAACTTAAAACTTATAAACTGCTACTATATTACTGCTTATTTTAAAATTTTAATAAATATAGCTACTTAAGTACTTATAACTTTTCTTTAGTTTTTAAGATTAATTTTAGCTAAGTAGCGTTATATTGCAACTGCTCTAAAATAAATTATTAGCTATTTAACTAAAATAGTATATTTGCATATTATGCGCATTTATAATGCTTATTAATTGCGCTTTAAAGTAATACTAATAGTAGTAATTCTAAATTTAATTTTAAGCCTAAAGCTAAAGCTAAGCTTTTATATATTACATTTACTGCGCCTGCTTTTTAAAAAAAAGCTACTACTAATAAAAAAATAAATAAGTTTTTTAATAAAGCTAGCCTTTTTAAAAAAAAATAATTAGTTTAAAAAATTTTTTAAGTAGCATTTTTTTATTTATTTTTTAGCCTTATAAACTATAGATACTTTAGCCTATAAGCTTTTACTATAAATAAATTTTTTTTTGTATGCAATATATGTGCGTTTTGCTTATATAAACTATGCTTTTTTACTTTTTTTTAATTATAGTGCTTATTAATCCTGCTTAAACTCTTTAATTAAATTATTTATATTTTTAAAGTCTAATGCTAGAGTTTAAGTATTTTAAAATTTATTATAGCTTTTTTAGCGTAATAAGTACTAAGATTGTCCTTTTTTAGTACGCTTTTTTAGGATTTTTTCTACTTTTTAAATTTTTTTTTTTTTAGTATTAATTTTTAGTAACTAAGTATTTTCTTCTATTTCTTGCCTAAATTTCTAGCGTTCTAGTAGAAAAACATAAAATATATTATAAATTTAGTAATAAAGTAAAAATAATAAATAATATACCTGCGATTTAACTGCTTTTTATATTTAAAAAAAGCTAATAAACTTATTAAACAGTTTTTTGCTTAGCTAGTTTGCTAGGTTAATATACTTTATACTAAATAATATAAGATTTTTTTAGTAAAATATTTTAAGTTTATATTTTTTATTATAGTATTAATTCTAATATTTTTATACTTTTTATAAATATATTATAAGCGTTGCCCTTGCGTAGTATATATACTTAATTTTATTAATTATATCTAGTATTTTTCCTTGTAGCCTACTGTTTTTAAAAAAAGTAGTAATTAGTAGGTGCTTACTATATATAGCATAAAAAGGTATTATTTTTATTAACTTGTATATAAAATTATTATATATAAATTGCGCTATATTTAAAAGCTATACTTAGTTATTTTAGGCAGCTAAAGCAAAGATTTAAAAATACTATTTAAAAGTTTAATTTTAGTATTTTATTTGCTTATTAGTTTAAAAATAGAAAATAATACTTAGCCTGCGCTTTATTTGTAGCTAATAGCAGATTTTTGCTTAAAAAGCAGAAGTAAATATAAATTTTTTATTTAATATAATACTTTTTTGTAGCTTAAATTTAAAAATTACTTAGTTAAAATATATAGTTATAAACTATTTTGCATTTTACATTTTTAAAGCAGGTATATAAAGTACTATTTTTAAAAAATAGTTAATAATTACAAAAATTGCATTATATATATAACCTAGGCTATCTTTTGCTAAAGGCAAGCTAGTAATAAAGTCTAATAAAACTTTTTTAAAAATTTCTATAAGTATAAGTAGTAGAAATAGTTTGCTATATTAACTATACTTTTACGCTTTACTTTTTTAGTATATAGCGCATATTTTTACGTAATTTTAAATATTATTACTAAGTATAGGCTAGTAATATAACTAGCTAATTAGCTTAAGTATTTTTTATGCGCTAAAGTAGCCTGCTAAGCGCATATTATAATAATAAAAAAAAAATTTTTATTTAATAGCTAGTTTTTCTAGAATATATATTTTGCTATTATATTATAAGATATTTTTTTTATTAAAGCGCTAAATATGCATTTTTTTATTATTTTAAGTGCTTTTTATATTTGCAGAGTCTGCGACTTACTACTAAATAAAAGCATCCTTTTGCTATAGCTAGTATAAAGTTTTTACTAGTATAAAAAACTCTACTATTATAAATTTATTATTAATTAATACTTTAACTAGTAAGCATAGCATATATAAAATATACTTTATAGCGCTAGTAGTAAGGACTATTTTAGTTTTATAAATAGTAGTAACGTGCGTTTTATACGCGCTAACTAAGCTAGGCTTAAGTATAAATTTTTTTGCTTTACTTAGTACTACTTTTACTAGTAGTTTATTCTGTAAAGTAAGTAATAATTAAATTAGTAATAAATTTTTTTATTTATAATTTGCTTTTCTAAACAGTGCGTCTGCAAAGTTTATTTTTTTTAAATAGTATTTTATTTTAAAATTAAAAGTTCTAAAGTAAATTGCTTAATATATTTAGTATAAGTTTAGCTTCTGCATAGCGCGCATAAAGCTTAAGTTGTTATAATTACTAAGTACTTATATTATATACTATGCTTTTTTAAAATAGTGTTTTTATTATTTAAAGCTATATACAATAGCTAAAAGCTTTAAATTATATATTTTATAGTTAAGCTTAGCGCTCTAAAGTTTCTAAAATATAAAAATAATTAAATGCTATTTTTTATTTTTAAAATACTGTAATAGTATACCTGCAATAGTAAAAGTAAAAGTATCTATTTTAATTTAAATAGGCTATGCAGAATTAAAATAGCGCAAAATAAGCATACTTAAAAAGTATTATTTAAGTATTTTAAAAAATATATTAGCCTTATTAGTTTATTAAAATTTTTAAAACTTCTTAAAAAAGTTAGTTAAAGTAGCAATTTTTTTAGTATATTTTTTAATAAACTAGCAGTAAAAGTTTGCAAAGCTTAAAAAGAACTAAAATTTTTTAGTATTAGTAAGCTATAGCTATTATATAATTATTTTTACTTATGTAAAGTTTGCGTATATGCCCTGCATTATAATAATATACTTAAAAAAGTATACTTTATTAAAGGCAAAAGTATACTTTTTTAAGTTAATAAAGAATTTTGCTTTATATAAAAATATAAGTATAGAGCTAATTGCGCGCTAGTAAACTGCAATATTAGCGCTATAAATATAAATAAAAATATTATCTAAGTAAACTATATAAATATAGTTTAAGTACTTACTAAGTGCTTTATTAATATAGGCTTAAAAGCTTACTAAAATATTAGTAAACTTAAAAAGCATAATTAAGTATTTAAAATACCTGTATTAAGTTTAAAAGGCTATTTTCTACTTATTACTTACTATAATTTTTAAGCAGTAATATGCGTTTTGTAAGTTAAAAATAGTATAATAATATATATTTAATAAACAATCTAAAGTTTTTTTAACTAAAAAAAAAAGGCAATAGTTTTTAATAGTAATAGCGTTAAGTTTTTAGTAGTTAACGCAAAAGCAAAGCTTGCTATTTTTTTTAAAAATAAAAAATATAAAGGCTTTTATAAAGCTTATACTATACTTAATTTTTTTTTTTTTAAGTATATTATTTAAGTATTTGCAGAACACCTTAAGCTTATATATAAAAAAATTATATAGAAAATTATAAAAAAAATTTTTATTAGCTATAAAAAGAATAGTATAGTTTAATATTTTAAAATTTAGAAAAGTTTCTGCTACTTTTTTATTAAAAATATTTTAGTATTTAAATAATACGTCTAGTATACATACCTTATATACTATATATACTTAGTAAATATAAGTATTATAGTTTAAGCTTACTTTAGTAGTTTATAGAACTTTTAAAAGGCGTATATTAAAACTAGTTTAATTTAAGCTTTTTAGTAGCTAAACTACTATAGCTAGCTAGATATTTACTAAAGTATATCCTTAATACTAAGTTTAGAAACTATAGTTAATATAAATTTTTTTTTATTATAAAAAAAAGTTACTAAAAAAAAAAAAGGCGCCTTTTTTATCTACCTTATATATAGTAACTTAGATATAGCGTTTTATATTTGTATTATTTATTAGGTATACTTAAAACTTATATACTATATATATACTTTAATACTATAAACTAATTTATTTTAATTTTAGAAGCTTAGCTCTTTTAAAGAGTTTTAAATTTATTTTTATAGCTACTTATTAGCTAATAAGGCTTATATTTACTTATAAATTTAAAACAATTTAAAGTTTTTTTTTAGAACTAGTATTATTAGCAGTGCTATACGTGCGCTTTATACCTAGTAAAATATTTATAAAAACGCGCTTTACTGTTTTTAAGCTAAAAGTAAAGCTTAGCCTTTTTTTATTTAGTTAATATATATAAAAAAGTAGTTTAGGTTACTTTTATATTTATTAGCGTAATATTTAATTTTGTAATACTTATAGTATATAATGCTATTTTTATTTTATAGCTTAGTAGTAGGTTTGCTTAGTTTAGGCTTTAAAGCTAAATTTTTAAATCTAGCCTTAAATATGCTATACAGGCGTTATTTATGCGCAAGCAAAAATTAATGCAAGTTATATTTTAATATAAAACTTAATACTATTAAATTTTTTCTAGTTGCAAGTACTTAGTAGTAGTTAATAATTGCTCTTTATAGTTTTAGCTTAAGTTTTAAAAATAAGTATTAAACCTTCTGCTTTTTAGTATAAGGCGTAAGCTAGTTTTTAAAAATATTAAAATAAGTTATAAATAAGTAAATAGTTTAGTTTTTTTATTATATAATTTAAGCATGCGCTGTAGCTACTTTAAAGCTATAGTTAACTAGGTTAGTAAGCAAATTAAGTATATACTACTTAAAATACTTTTAAATAGGTAATATACTGCGCGCTTTAAAAGTGCGCTTATAGTATATATACTAAAGTTTTTTTAAATTTTTACTAAAATATTGCATTGCTTAAGTAATTTTAGTATTATTTTAAAAAAATTTTTATAGTAAAAGTTAGAACGCTACTTTGCACAAGCAGAAAAACTTATAGTATTTTTTAAAATTTTTTTTTTAATATTTAAAAAAAATTTTTAGTTAGAGCGTGCGCTTTGCGTATAAAAGTATAAGTGTATTATTTGCGCCTTACTTGCGCGTTTTAATAATTTTAAATTTAAAAATTTTTTTTATAAGTAAAGTTAAAGTAGAGTTGTATTTAGTATTTTTTAGTTGTGCTATTTCTGCTTTAATTATAAGGAAGTATTATTATGCTTAAAATTTATTGCACTTTTTTTTAGCAACTAAAATGCGCTTTTTAAGTATTAAAAGTGCGCTTTAATTGCTAAGTTCTGCCTTGCTATTTAGTTAAAAATTAGCTAAAGCTAGTAATTCTAATAGTATAGCCTATTAGCTTAATTATATTAGAGGGGCTATCTTTAGGCTATTATACTATAAAGTATTATTTTATTAAGGAGTAGCTTTAAGCAATAGTATTTGCTTTACACTATAAAAAATAAAAAAAAAATAGCTAATAAAAAGTTATTTTCTAGCTTAATAAGTTAATAATACTTAATACTACTATTTTGTAGGTATAGCGCAGGTTAAATATAGAATTTTTGTGTACGCACTAATTCCTAAAGGGGATAGCGCAGTATTACTGCAATACCAACTCCTAGTAATAATACTTTGTTACACTTTTAATCTTCTGCGCTTAATTTTATTTTACTTAAGCTTTTACTTTATAAAAAAAAAAACTAGTTATTTTTAATTCAAATTTTAAAAATAATACTAATTTTAGTACAACTGCTAAACTATATAAAAAAATAATAAAAAAGAAAACGCTGCCAAAACAATAAACAAAATAGAAAAAAAACAAGAAAAAGGGAGGAACAATAAAAAAAAAAAAAAAAAAATTAAAAAAGTAAAAAAAGCTAAAAATAACAATAAAAATAAAAGCTTAAATAATAAAAATTCTGCAAATAATAATGTTGTTAACACTAACAACAGCAATAAAAAAAAATATTATAATAGTATAGTAATATGTAAAAAAAAATTAATAGCGCTTCTAAGCTTTAATAAGCGCTAAGTAAATATATAATAAAAAATTATTAACTATAATTTATAATATTAATATATAGCTTAAAAACCTAGGTGCCTTAACAATGCAAATAAGGCTAGAAAAAAAATACTGCACTATTAAAAAATAAAAAAAAGCAGCTAAATTATTTAGTATTTATATTAAAAAGCTTTAAAAAATAAATTAATTACTTTACTAACAGTTTAAAACTTTTATATTATATTTATACTTTATTAACTAAATAAAGTCTATTTTTTATACAAGAAAGTATAATTAAAAAACAAAAGTAGTATATTTAAAAATATAATAAGTATAAGAAAAATAAAAACTATACTATTTAAGCTTTTAGTAAAGTATATTTACTAGCTTAATTAGTTAGAAGTAATAAACGCTTAAGTAATTAAAAATATAAATTAATACTAAATTATATATAAAAGTAGTAAATAGTGCTTAATAGCTAATAAGAAAACTTTCTAATATATATACAAAAAAAAATTATTTATACTAGAAAAGCTGCATATATATCTAATACTAGTTAGCAGATAAAGCTATATACTAAATGCATAAAATAATAATACTATAGCAATAGCTATTTTTAAGTTAAAGTAGTATAATTTAGCTAATTTTTTTTTAACTATACTTAGGGTTTTATAAATAACAAACCGCTAAACAGCATAAAGCTACTAATAAAAAATAAAAAAGTAAAAATAAAAATTAATCCTTGCGCTAATATACTTATTATAAACTATAATAAAACTATTATTGTTTATAAATATATATTTAGCTATAAAAAAAAGCCTAAAATAGTACTATAAATAATTAGAAATAATAATATGCTAGCAGTTTATAAAAATATAATAAAAAACTATTTTACTTTATCTGCAGAATAGTTTATTATTATATGCAACTTTACTATATATTTGCAATATATTTTAAAAAAGTATTATAAAATAACTATTAAAAACTACTATATAGTAAATAAAAAAAGTGCTAGTATAGTTAAATGCTTATAACTCTAAATTTCTAGCTATATTATAGTTTAAAGTAGTATAATTTTTAGCAAATTCTACAACTATAAGCTTAAAAATATAATTATAAGTATACTATATAAAAAGCTTTAAAAGTATAATTATAAATACTAATAGAAAGCTTAGGCCTTATTTAATACTTTAAAAAAAAAGGCCTACTTAAAATTCTAACTTCTATTTTTTTATTTTAAGTTAAACTAAAAAATATTAATAAAATATTTAAACAGTGCAAGCTAGTTAACAAAGCAGACTCTAATAATATTATTAAGTATAAATTATAAGTTTAAAAAAATTAAAAACTTAAAAATATTTTTTATACTATAAATTTATAGTTAATTCCTATCCTTTGCTATATTAGGCCTAGTGCTATAATATTAGTCTACTTTTAATCTACTACTATTACTGGTTAAAAGTAGCTATAGATTACTTAAATAGGACTAGTGTAGGAAGAATCTGAAATATCTAATAAAAAGTATCTATTTGCGTTATATATAATATCTGTTTGCGTTATATAACTGTTTTTAGTTTTTTTATAATTTTTTATTTATTCTTTATAGTAAACTGCTTTTGTATTAATAAAGAAACTATAATAAAAAAAGTAATTTATTTTAGTTATAAGTTAGTTTTTTTATTATAACTGTTAACGGCTATCTAATTATATATAAATAAAAGTTTAATTTTTAAAATTAAGATTATTATTTAGCACCTTTACAATGCCCTATCTAATATAATTTTATATTATATTATATTATTATTTTATATATTATTTTTATTTACTTATTATATTGCTTATTTAGGCCTAAAGCAATATATACTTTATATTAAAAAAGTATTCTATTATATTTATATTTATATATATTTATTTCTATAAATAAAAGTGAAGTTGACGCTAAAGCGGATTATACAACGCAGTAAAAAAATTTAGTATAAAATTATAGTTTAAGTGCTATACTTAGCACTTTAACACAGTATTAAAGTAGTAAAGTTTACATAATACTAAGCTAGCTAAATAAATTATTAAAACTAATAATCACTATTAGCAGACCTAATGCATTATTATTTAAAAATTGTAGTAATATAACTATTAACTTTTAATAGTAACTAACTTGTTTGGGCAATGCTAGGCAAGTTATATTAAATTAAAATAAAGCGTTTAGTTAAGTTTTTAAGCTAATATTAAAAGCTTAATTTAGTAATAAACTTATGCTTTAACTAATATTCTCCTAAATAGAAGTAAGCAATTTAATTAGTAATAGCACGCAAAATATTAATTAAAATTCTAGTTTAATAAGTTAGCTTGCAAAGAAACTTTAAAATTATAAATTATAATTTTTAATAGGTCGCAATAGTTAATAGTTAATAATTAAAAGTAAAAAGCCGCAGGCAGCAGTTCCAAATATA